ACTGTGTAATGAGATCAGTTAAATTAATAATGAAACTATTAAAAAATCTGATTCTGATCTCAGACACGGTCACACAGTCAGTCTAGTGTTGACAGACTTACTTATAAAGATAGAATCAGTTAATACTATAGAGTTAATTAGAGAAGACAAGCTTATCTATATAATAACTTTATAAATGTCTGAGAACTTCACAGTTATAAAAACTGAGCTTTAGATATCAGAGAAATACTGAGATCTTATAGAGATATTTAACTTAGTGAAGACAGCTGAGCTTTCTTCTCACTGTAAGAAGAATCTAATAATAGATTTAATAGAAGAGTAGAAACTCTTCTGAGAATTAATCTATAAGCTCTTTTATTATGAGACAGAGATCTTACAGATCTATATAAAGAAGAATCTGAAGAATAACTTTATCTAATCTTCACAGATCTCTATAGAAGTCTCTGTGATATTTATAAAAAAGAAGAATAAAAATTTCAGATTGTATATAGACTATTACAATTTAAACTTCAAGATAATAAAGAGTTATTATTCTCTATCTCTGATTAAGAATATAATCAACTGTCTCACAGAAGCTGTTATATTTATATAACTGAATATAATTAATGTATATATATAACTGTGAATACAGTCTGAGAATAAATAAAAGACTGTTTTTAAAACTATACTGAGATTATTTGAATATCTAGTAATATCTTTTAATCTGACTAATATCTCTGTAGTATTTCAGTCTTTTATTAATAAAATACTTTATATATATCTGAATATCTTCATGATAATATATCTGAATAATGTGATAGTGTACTTTATGAAGAAGAAAGAACACACTGAGTATATGTAAAGTGTATTGAAGATCTTAGATAAGACAAAACTGTATATTAAGCTTATAAAGTATAACTTCAGTGTCTATCAGATTAATTTTCTAGAATATGTAATTATCACAGATAATATTCAGATGAAATCTTCACAGATTAACACTATTCTATCATGATCAGAGTTAACTAGTATTTATAAGGTTTAGATCTTTCTGAGTGTAATTCAAAGGTTGCTTAAGCCAGCGTACAATTACAGGCGTACGCCGGCTTCTTATATATTGTAATATTATACGCTAAATTAATTAGCGGCCGCTATGACCTTCTTTACATTTATACACTAGTAGTTCAGAAGCAGCTGTGTTATTATTCAACAGTTATACATTCTTCTGAACTACATTCTCTTTCATCAGATTCAGTCATGCTCATGTAATCATGTTGTACACTCTAGCTTCATGCAGATTAGCTTGTCACTAGCATTTTACAATTGTGTGATCTATCTCTAATTCAGCTAGCATTCTGCATACACTCTTACAAAGAAACTTTCACTATATTACACTACTTATTGACTAACTTTTTCCATTCTTCAATCATCATCTTCATCATTGTCATTATTGAACATTATTATCATCTCAGATTTCTATTTCTTCTTCTGTTCAATTCTTTCTATCTGTTCATCTATCACATTATATACATTTCTGGCAATGACTCTCTGTTCTCATAATAAGTGTTATTGTAGTACTCATATCAGGCAGTTTGTTAGCAGTAAGTGTAATACATTGTGAAACATGATCAGAACTTATTTATCTTCTAATGATTGTCAGAATAATGTATTATCATGAATAATATATCTTCTTCATCTTCTCATACACCTCTAATCATTTTCTTCTCAGCAGGTTTCTGATCATGTTTTCTGACACAATTTTATGTGAATGCAGATGCTGATATGTTTGTTTTTATTTGTATAGAATCTTCACATGTTGACAGATCTATATTCACTGATAATAGTGAACTCAGTATTGAATCATTGATTGAGAACTTGAAGAATATAATAATGAAGAAATTATTTGTATTATATGTGACTAAGTCTTCTGCATTCTTCTCTGCCTCTTCTGCTACTTCTTCTTCTGCTGCTTTCTTTCAATCTTCTACACTTGCTTCTGTGTCTGATTCTCCTGCTCTCACTATCTCTGTTTCTGTGATCTCTACTTCTGCTGCTTCTGGTTTTACTGTCTCTGCTTTTATTATCAGCTCTTCTCATTTCAAGAAGATGTTGTATAGACTTAATAAATTATCTCTCTCAGTGTGTACACTCTTACTCTTCTTATCAACTCTCAGAATGATTTATTATATGAAGACTGTGTATAACATGACTATCTGAGACTTAATCATGAATGCTGATTATTATGTTTATTTTAAATATTTATGATAAGACAATTATTCATTCATATCAGAGAATCACTTCTTCTTTCAACAGTATTGAGATTGTAAGTTTTTTTCTTTTTCATCTTTTTCTTTCTAATGCTGATTTTTCTATTCTTAGAAGAAATTGTTATAAGTTTTACTGTGCACAAAGTCATGATATTTACAGATATCAAGAAGCTTTTCACAACTATAAAGTTCAATATTACAGAGATATTCACTCTGATGAATTTCTTCAGAATAATAGATCTGTATCAGCCTATTCTCTGAAATCTATTATTCAACTTTGTGATGCAGATGAAAGATATCTGTGTTTTCAGAAATGAGAATGTGAATGTTGTACTCTTTTACACCCGCAGGTATGAGGCTTGTATATCTTGTCTGAGATGTTGTTATGAAAATGAGCTGTTCACACACTGTGTTCTGCTTTCTGCATTTTCTCATGTTTCTCTCTCTCTTTCTGAGAAGTCTCATGCATGTTGTAATTGCATGTACAACTCTAAGATCAGCAGATGTTCATTCAGTAACTATTCTTATCTCTGATTTTATGATTTTTATACACTAACAATAATTCTTAGTTGCTTCAGTGTCAGAGGTCATTCTGATTGAAGATAATAACATTACTAAGACTACTCTCTCTCACTCTCAAGCTTCTTTCATTGCTTTCTCTTCCTTCTCTGTGAGAAAGATTGTATGCACACTGAGTTGTAAGTGTTCAGCTCTGAGTGACTTTCATTATTCATCTAATTCTGTATCTCTCTCTTTCATTTCTTCTGTCTTCACTCTCTCTGCTCTGACTTCTGATTCTGTGAGTTTCATGCTCTTCTTCAATTTCTCTACACATATGTGTATGCATTTCTATATTGGCATTTCAGCCAATCTTGTGATAAATGACATTAATGTCATACACAGAGTGGTAGAGAAATCAGAGACATGCATAGTGTTGTTGTGAGAGTGACTTACAGTTCTTGAATCCCTTGCAGATCTCAAGTTTTGAGATTTCCTTTTTTAGTGTTTTTCAGGTGACATGGTGTTGAAAATAGATTAAACATATAGTGTATGAAAATGAATGAGATGTGTATGATAATATTTGTTTTTTACAGCTGACTCTTACAGTTGATGATTAATTCATTAACTCTTTTCTTACACTTTTTCTTTATCTGCTAGTCACTACTCTTACATGATCTCTATATAATACAGCATTTAATGACTAGGTTCAGCAGCTTTCATCTTTTGTAATTCTGTCTCATGCATTATACTGTCTCTCTTCACCTGCTCAGATTACTACAGTGAACAGCTCATTGAAACTAACCTTGCTCAATCTCTGAGTATTCTCAGAGATTGAGATGACTTAATCTCATGCATCTGCAGATATTTCAGATAGTTCATTCTCTGTAATCTCTGTGATTAAACTAATGTAAATAGTCAAATTCAACTCTGAATTTCTTTTTCTTCTGCAATCTGACTCATGTACAAGTCTGTTACTTTGAGACTGTTCTTTGCTATATTGTATCTGCTGTCTGCAGCATATTATCATACAATCAGCTACAGTCTCATCACTTATTAAAGTGTGGCATTCATCTGATTTCTTCATTTCTTCTCATTCTTTCCTTGTAATTATGAAAAGGTTGAAATTGTTGAACGTCTGAGTGATTGTATTGTTGATAGCTATCTAGTGAGCGATATATGCTTGGTGCGGGGCGCTAGTTCATACTAGGAAGCCTAGGGCTTTCACACCCCCTCTCGGACTAGCTATCATGCAGCTATTCTATCTATCTTTCTCAAATCATTCAAATCTGCAATAATAATTAATTACAAAAAGCAGCATCTAGTTTTCTCATTAGAACTAGGTCTGATACATGAAATCAAATTCATCTTATTCATCTGTCATATTCATTATATTCTTATTCATCTTGTGAATAACTTGATTGATTCTTCATAAGTTCATAGACATCCGGGGAAACTCCTGCAAAGAATTCATGGCCTGGCTGGCTTATGAGAATATCATCTTTATTCTTATTCTTCTTATCCTTTGCTATCTTCAATGCCTTGATACATTCCTTGTTACACTTCTTTCATTCAGTATTCGCGAGGTTCAGGTTCTTAAATCAGCAGTATTTGATGATATGACCAGTATTGTTGCAGTAGTGGCACTGGTGTTTATCAAATTGTTCAGTGACAGGGCTTGCAGTGAAAGAATGAGTGATAGTAGCAGGCATGTTGATGATGACTCATGTGGCCAGTTGATTCATCAAATCATCAAGGTTCAGATTCTGAATAGAGCTCTGTTTAGTAGTATAGAATTCATCCAGCTTCATTCTAATGAATTCCTGTTGCTAATCCCTCAATTCTAGAATGAATAGATCATGATAGATACACTCAGCCCAGTTTTCTCCCAGAGATATCAGCTTTGTCTTAAGGTCTCAGAAATTTGCAAGATAGGTGTGGAAATCGCTGTTCTTGAGGTGTAAATCTCTCATCTTTTTAGTGGTTAGAAGGTGTTCTTCTGTGTGAGATATAGCATAGCATTGAGTGAGATTCTTTCATATAGTGGCAGCAAGATAGGCATCTTTATTCAATGGTCCCAGAGAATCGCGTACAGTGGTGTTCAAAGATTGGAAAATCTGGGTATAGAGAAGCTCATTTTTCCAATTCCAAAGCTCAATATTCAGAGACACTGTGATAGAAGGCACTGTTTCTTCCTTGATAAGAACATCTTTTGCCTGAATAAGATGAGTATTCACAAGGATTGAACTCTTCCATTCTAAGTAGTTGACAGATTCATTGAGAATGATTACATGCTTTTCTTCCAGCTTGATCTTAGCATCCTTTCAATACTCACTAATAGAGTCCTGAGTAGTTGACAGAGAGCTTGAGTTGCTCCCTAGCTTTTGTATGAGCATTTTCATTCATTTGTCCTGTTTCTTCATATAATCCATCATCATTCGAATCATGGTGTTTTCATTCATTTGACCTCCAGTTTGAGATCCCATTTCACCCCTCCTCAGCATGGGAGTAGGTGTATCCTGCCCGTATTCTTCATTCATATCCATGTTGCTTGCAGGTGTATTCAACAATCCTGCAGTAGCTCGCGTTCTTGGAGACATTTGTTTACCCCCTCTTTGAATCAATCTTTTCCCGCGATCAAAGCTTTCAAAACAGTTGCTTTTCATCAGGTTCCTTCTGCAGTTCAGCAATGCAGCTCACGAGACATTTTATACCTCAGATAAGAGAAAAAGTAGTGATTGTGAAAGTTTTAATGAAAAAAAAAAAACAAGCTATCCGGGCTATAATCTGTTGAACATCTGAGTGATTGTATTGTTGATAGCTATCTAGTGAGCGATATATGCTTGGTGCGGGGCGCTAGTCCGTACTAGGAAGCCTAGGGCTCTCACAGAAATAAGTGAGATTATCTGATTTGTAAGCATCTATGATTTCTCTTACTTTGTGAGACTTTTCAATTGTAAGTCTCTTCTTTTTCAATGCTGATGATAGTGCTATAAATAATTATAATTCACTCAGATCTTGCATCTTTGCTTTCACAAGTTATGAATTATTTATTAAGTTGTATAAGATCTGTCTCTCTGATTCTTTCAATGCATACATTCTCAGAGAATATGATTTGAGTATTTTATATGACTCAAATCATCTAGATTGAAACTTCTCAGAACTCTCATTGTGTATGAGAACTTACATTCTTATCTTGAGACTTGATTTCTTAACTAGTGAGTCTCATATTCTTTTTAATTAAATTGCTCAGTTCAGAAGTAACTCATTAGCTTTTGCACATACATGGCTGATCTCTTTCAATCTTGATTCTGCATCTGCAACTGCTGTGTTCACAACTGCTACTGCTGCATCTGTAACTGCTATTTCTGCTGTGTTCACAACTGCTGTTTCTGCTGCATCTGCAACTGCTTTCTTTCTCATCTTTTTCAAAGTATTCTTCAGAATGCGCGGATGCAATTCATACAACAGGTAGAATGATGAATGCTTGATAACTGCATACTGTCAGATTCGCATGACTAATAGTGTCTGATCAAGATATTCATCTCATAATCTCATAGACTTGCTCACTAGTTATTTCATCAGCATGTTGTTCAAGATTTCATTCAAGTGTTTCATCTTCTCATTCATTCACAGATGATATGATGTTGTTCTACAATGTCTTGTCTGTAACTGGCTCATAAAATGCCTCACTACTTCTTCTACAAGGTTCACATCATTATCAGTTAAGATCTCACACAGTATTTCATAGTTGACATAGATCTCATTATGTAGAAACTTCATCATCATCTTCTCTATTATCTCTGAAACTGCTTTCACAACTGATCAGTCAGTAGCATAATCAATAGCAGTGATTATTCATTGATTTTCATTTGATGTTTACAGTAATATGTCTATGAGGTTCATCTCTCATCATTTGAACAGTTATATTATACACTTCATCTGATGTTGTGCTTTCTTGTATTCTAACTCTTTCTTAGATTCTTTCACAACCTGATAATTCAGGCACTTGTAAGTGTACATCTGAATGTTCTCAGTCATGCTTAATCAGTATACTCTTGATTTGAGTACACTCATGAGTTCAGAGCTTTCTAAGTGACTGAATTCCTTATGCATGTGAGCTATCAAGTTATGTCTAAATGAAGATTCTAGATAGAGAGCTTCTGTATATTCTAGATTGTGATAAAGCACAATGTTGTTTTCATTTCTCAATTTTCTCAGCTTGAAGTTCAGAAGTATCTCTTCTATTACTCTTATAAGACACTTGTTATCTGATATCTTGCTATTCTTCAAGTGAGAGATCATGATGTTCACTCATTCTGATTTCTTGCATTCTCTCAGTGTGTTTAACACAAACATTTCTTATACCTAGTTCACAGAACTCTCACTCATGAAATTGAGTCTATAACTGATTGCATCAGACATCACTGCATTCAATCTATTTCAGTATTTAATATTAAGATTATACACTTAGAACTCTGAGATTCAACATACTAAGTGTTTGAAAGATTTTATCATTAATTATAGATAGATAAGACTTTCATGATCTGTGATCACTGTTGTTGTATATCTGTTGTCAATATATCTATTTCACAACATCAGTATATGCTTGATCACTAGCAATTTCTTTTCATGCACTGAGTAATTGAGCTCAGTGTCTGATAGTTTTCTATCATCATATATTATCAGATACAGCTTGCTGTTCTTACTTATCTGTAGAAGAGTGTCTTCAATAGCTTATTCAGATGTATTCATCTCAATATAGAAAGATTTATCACAATCTGATTGAATAAGTACTGAGAATGTTGTTACATATTTCCTCAGTGTGAGAAAAGCCTCTTTGTATATAGCATTTCAGATAATTGAACAAAACTTCTTCTTTCACAGATTTGCATTCATTTCTCTTAAGAGATCTGAGAGTGATGCAGATATTCATGTGAAATTCTTGATGAATCTGCAGTAATATAAGATTAACTCAAGAAACTATTATACATAATGTACATTTCTCAGCTGCAGTCAATTCACTATAATATTCAATTTCTCTGAGATGAAGTATATACAGTCATCACTCACTACATGTTCTACAAACTTCAACTCTTCTATTTCAAACACATACTTAATTGATTTAATATAGAGCTTATACTCTGTCAGAGTTGTAAGCACTTCATTGAGATGCTTCAGATATTCATTATATGAGTTTGAAAAGACTAGAATGTTATCAAGATATACAAGATATGAGATTTTATTCTGTTTATAAAGAATTGTATTCATCATCATTTGAAAGATGATAAGTGTATTTATCAGACTGAATAATATTACTAGGAATTTGAACTTCTCTCATTGCATATTAAACACAGTTCATAAGACTGATAGTTCATCTATACAGATCTGCCAGTATTCTGAGAGAAGATTGATCTTCAATAGATATCAGACATTTTCAACTGTATTCAACTGTTGTTGAATCTGTGATAGTGAATATTCATTCTTGATCATCAGCTTGTTAAGTGCTTGATAATTGATACACATCTGTCACTTCTCATCTGCCTTTTTCATAAATAGAACTGGAAAGCCTCACACACTTGATGAGAATTATATAAGATTATATTCTAGAAGGTCAGTGATCTGACACTTCTGTTCTTCAAGATGTGTCTGTGATAGAGAGTATGCATTCTGATTGACTGGTTTTGTGTCCTCTGTGTCAATCTTATGTATGAATTCTCATTTCAGCAGTAATTTCAGTGAAAGATCTGTTCAGAAGATCTTCTCATGCTTCTTCAGAAGCTTCTTCATATGCTTATTCTTCTGCATATTCTTTATCTTGATTTCCTCTACTTTCAGGTTCTGTATTACATACAGAATGCTTTTAGATGAGGTCTGGTGAATCATTCTCTTTGCTTGTTAATGTGTAAGCAGATTTAATCCTTCTATATCAGAGATGTGAAATGTCCTTCTCATATCAGTTGATAGAATTATATGAACTGTTTTCTTTCTATCAGTTAACTGTATATAGCATGTACATTATTGAATCTGCAGATTGAATCTTTGAAATCAATCAAGTTCAAGAATAAGGTTATATTTCACATTCTGCAGCTCTTGCACTTAAATATAGCAAGATCATTCTTCAAAGTATAAGAGAACTCTTACTCTTGCAGATGATATCAAATATCAGTTATCAGATAATCTTATGTATCAGAGATTCTTCACTCAGCAGATCTCTTTCAATCTTTGAATTATATAATCATTAATATATTGTGTAGAAGCTTCTGTGTCTGTTAATACTTTTACAGTCATCTCTTGATTCTTATTCAAGTGTCTCTTATACATTAATATTTCAGGTCTCAAGACATTGAGATGAGTATTCACTTCATTCTCACCTGCTTCTCAGTCAGAAGTCTGCTTCTTCTTTGCATTCACAGAATTCAGAGAGTCATCTAATACAGGCATCTCTTTTACTTTGAAGACTTTTTATAGAATATTAGCAAGTGTCTCTGAGCTCACTGATTCTGCTAGTTTTTTGACTCTCTTGCTTCTCTTGACTGTGTATGCTGAGTGCAATCTTTTATATCATGATTTAGTATCTGCAGTTGAAGCAAGCTCAATACTCATAATATTAAGATTTTCACTCAGGGAATCTCTTTTTCAGAGAATTTGACACTTTAGCAATGACATTCAGATCTAGATTCATTGTATCTGAGTGTATGACTTATATTATAGAAGTCTGATTATCTGTTCTTCACTGAGACATACTTAATTACAGTATTTTCTGTCATAATTAACTCACTTGTTTCTGTACAATGAGAATGTTATATACTTCTTTCACTGTGTCTAATTGCAAGATTAAGCATTTTCATTCCACTCTTAACTCAGATATAAGATCATGAATAAAGATCTGTAAACAGAAAGATATTGAAAGCTCTTTATTCAATACAAGATAGTATAAGCTGAAGTGTATAAAGTATAATATAAGATCACTCACTTATCTATACTCAGTGAAGTGTTTGTAATACTTATCTTATATATTCACTTTTTCAAAGTTATGCAAGATTCATTTGAAAAACTCATTTTATATTCATGAAAATGAATATCACTCTGAGTCTGTGAGATTCATCTTTTCATTAGTCATTCATAATAACTTCACTTCTCTGTGTAGAAACACAGCAGATCTTAAGACTTGTTGAAATTCTGTTAACTATCTGTCTGTGAGTTCATGTTTAATTTGATAATATAATCACATCTGACTTAGTCAGCTGATTGCAGTATTATTTTTTCAGTTATTATTGAAGCTTAATAGCTTCAGCAGATCTCTCAGCTTAATGTATTTCATACTCAGATTCTCATTCTGTGCAGTGATCTCTGATAATATATACACTTCTGAAGAGGTTGTGAATAATCATAATAGAATCTTCAGATTCAGTGTAGTTATCTATCTGTATAAACATTTAATCTTCTGCTACAGGTCTAAGATCTGGTTTTCTCTATTCTTATTGAGAATGATGATTATGTCAGTGAAGCTCTTCATAGTGAATGCTTGATTCACAGTGAATATTAATTGTTATTTAACTTTCATCTCAGTCTGTCACTGTGTATACAAGACCTTGATCTCATTTAGAATTCTTGTACATGTACAGAGCTTTAATTCCAGTTTAGTGATTTCAGCTGCTTTTCTTACTGTTTTGAGTAAACTCTCTGAGAGGTTCTGCATATCTTTCAGTTCAGATAGCAGAGAAGAATGTTGTTTAT